TGTGCAGGAATGCACAAGATAGCTAGTTGCAATTGTATAAATTAACTGCTGAAAATAAACTCAATGTCCATTAGAGTGAGACCCTCTCAACCCCATCTTTTAGTCTTGTCTTTCTTTTCTCAGTCCTGCAGCACAGGTTTCTGGACCTGATCGATTGTCGGCTGGCTCCGACAACTGAACACTTCAGATGACCCAGTCTGATACTCAAAACCACAGTGAGGTCCTTACTACTATTTATTCCTATTTTATAAATGAGCCACCTGGGCCTTAAATAGATTAAGCGACTTTCCCCAACTTACAGTGACTTGAAAAATAGTGAATTGGGTAAACGTGGGGCCCACATATTCCCAGCTAACACTTCCTACAAATAACTCACCGCGAGAAAGGTTTTTTTCTGTCCTCTGGCTGGGGGACCATCGCCTCCCCTTCCCCATCTACATCACAGTTGAACTGACAGTGTCACGTGTTTAACACTATCGTGCCAGCATAATCCCTGCACAGTGTTTACGGGGAGCACCCAGCCAGAGGGGTGAGGGGACACGGCTAGGAGAGAGGAGGACCAGATGTGAAACGCTGTGGACGTGGTGGATCCCGGGCACCGACGTGGAGAGCCAGACTGTGGTGAGAGGCTGATTCGAGTCTGGTTTGGCTCTAGGCCAGCCTTCAGAGTCGAGTCACGGGTTGGACGGTAGGCTGTTTTCCATAGCAGCTCAGGTTGGTCCAGCCGCGTAAAGCCAATCCTTGGCCTTAAGAATGCTCCTTCTTTCTTGATCATCCCAAGGCCACTGAGGGGCTTCCATTTTGAGTGGTAGCCCAGCCTGCCTGACCTTCAGCCTGTACCTCTTTATTAATCCAATGAAGTAGAGCCAGGTAGACACTTTGTCTCGTGGCATTTAACTCAACTCTGATATCAGTTACAAAGGAGGTGGTCTGAGTGGGCAGAAGGGAAGGAGATCCTGGGGCCCACCACCTAGTGGGTACGATGCCTTGCAGCCACCTCGGTTTCTCCTGCTGTGACAAAGGTGGCAGCACTGACCACTGACAACTATTCTGGAAAGCACTTTGACAGACACTCCCTTTCATTGTCCAGGTTTATGCACAGAAATGTCAGTAGCAACAGCGCTCAGTTTCTAGTTATTCTGGAGAGAAAAGTTCCCTACTTCAGCCTCCCTCTGTGAATACATTTCACGGTTCACATTTCCTGAGTATTTGCCCCCTTGATTTACCCCAGCCTATGGCCAAGTTCACGGCTCGTCGTGTTTTACCCTAGACTCTTGTTCGGCGTAACTAGGTAAATTACGTTTTCAGAAAGTCAGGACAATCTTTTCTAATTAATAATGTGCATTTTCTCAAACGATAGGATGCTGGGTCTGTGGGAAAGTTTTCAATTCAATTATGAGCAATTTGCATTTACTATATTTAGATAACTGGTCTTTTTTCCCCCTTTTCCAGTTTCTGCTTTGTCTTTCAGTCAGGACCAATTATATGAATGCCTGATCTGGGGCTCCAGTTCTATGAGTTTTTACTGTAAATCCCCTAACTCTCTTGTGTTTGTATAATCCCGCTGTAAGATATACACATGGAAATATTTTTACTTAGAAATTGTGTTTTTGTTTTAAAAATTAAACTTTAACACTTTTCTCCCTTATTTTAGCCTGTAAATTTGGGAGGCTACTGTATTTTTTGTTGCAAAAATACAAGAAATCTTGTCTAAAATCTATTTATTCCTACACCGAATGAGATAGTGATGTATGTGGCTACCAAATGTACGGTAAACACACACATCAGTAAATTCCGGTCTGCACACGCGGCAGCGCGCACTTGTGACTGGGTTCTCAACGGACCTGCACCTTTATTTAGACTTCTGCAAGACGTGGTTTCTGCAGTTCGAGCTGCTTTATACGTCTTCCTGCGCTTCAGATCCCTAGCGCCCGCCGCTGCATTCTCCCAGCCTTACCTCACGCACACACTCTGAATTTCGGTTGGGGTTTCGGGGCCAGAACTTACTTCCTAGCGCCGGGAAAGCTGCAGCTGGAGTCCTCTTTCGGGAGGGTGGGCCCTTCCCGCCGCATCTGCCTGGAACGGCGGCTCCCGTGAGAACGCTTTCTTCAGGG